TGGGTTTTGGGGGAACTGAACCCCAAATTCTTGAAAGCAAAATGCATGCTTTGTAGGTGTTAATGTTAACGAGCAACAATTAACACCTACAAAACCACAAACTAAGGAGAGGAAATAATCAATACAGGCAATCAACTGCCCCAAGACAAACACAGTTGTACAAACACCCATGTTACAAGTTTTGCCTGTCAGCAGCTAGGGTTGCAGGGCCCCAGAACCCAGAAGCCCTGCATCTATCTCCTTAACAGCTGACAGGCTTTGTGGCCACTGCAGGGGCTACCATCCCTGCAGCTTTCACCCTGCTGCGCCTTAACACACAGACCGCTTTGGCCGGATCAAAGCAGCCCTCCAGATTGGATTGCTGGCATCCGAAGCGGCCGGATCCAAACCTGGATCGAATAGCTACCTACTCACACAAGCCTAGAGAGCAGCTGAGTCTGGCTGGTAAGTCTGTTGTGGGGGGAGGGATGGGAAGCAGGTGAGGGGGAAAGATCGAGGTTCCAGCAGTAAGGGAGGGAGTGGGGCTGGGGCAGGTGCTGCCCAGTCGGGGCAGGACATGGGACAGAGCTGCAAGAAGATTATCTGGGGGGCCGATCCCACCACTATGCGTACACCTGGGGGAGGAATGGGGGGCATGTGCCCCCAGATCTGCACAAGGGCTGGCTGGGGCTGGTGCTAGGCTCTGCATGGCAGGGGGGCTGAGTTGGGGCTGCACTCGGGGCAAAGAGCAGCAGCGCTGGGAAGAGGGGTACAGAGGGGAGGACTTGCAGCCATACCAATATTCACCATAGCAAAACACACCAGTGCTGCAGCCACTCAACCTGAGCGCAGATTGGCCCAGCCCACCCAGCCAGGGGGAGCTTGGTGCAGCCCTAGCTCCAGCCTGCAGCAGCAGCCCACCCTTGCCTGGTGCACAGATCTGGGGCACGTGCATACCACCCCCCCATGGTGCGCACAGTGATGGCAGCCGGCCCCCATCCCCGCACCACCCAGACTAGCCGCCAGGACTGCCCCTGCACCAGCCCCACTCCCTCCCTCACCGTGGAGGCCTTGATCTGTACATCCCCCCCTTCCCCCACAACAGACTTACCAGCCCAGTGCTGCTTTCTGCTCTGCCGGGTTCCATATTGGCAATCGGATCAGTATGGGCTGATATGGCTCGTTAAAAATTGGCTATCATATCAACCCAAAAATTCTCTACTGGCGCATCCCTACAAATTAGATTTCTCTACCACCAGAAGTGACATTACTCCTGCATATATTTGTGAGAAATCAGGTACCATCATTCAAAGATTGAATTATATGACTAGGAAAGACCATTAAAAATACTGCATATTTTAAAAAATTCTACATCATCTGCCTTACTGTACCTTTGGTACATTCCACTTTATACATACCATCAACTTTAAGATGGCAACAGTTTGTGAACACCTTGGAATTATGTATTCTATAGATCAGGGGTGGCCAACCTGCAGCTCCAGAGCCACATGTGGCTCTTCAGGATTTAATATGCATCTCCTTGAATCTTTTCACGAGTACATGGTGACCAAATTCCAAATGGAAGCTGTAACCAAATGGAAGCTGCTCACCATGTGCTTGTGCAAAGATTCAAGGAGACGCATATTAACTTCTGAAGAGCCACATGTGGCTCCTGAGCCGCAGGTTGGCGACCCCTGCTATAGATGCTGGTCCCAAGTATTACTCTGCACTGATTAGTTTTCAAAGCTTGTACCAAACTAGTTTCAGATTTATTTTTTTACAAACATCTTTTGGAAGAATTTGGAGGGGGATGATTTCTGCAAGTCCTAAACTGAAACTCAAAATTACCTTAGGCTGCCCCAAGACTTTCCTGTTACATAAAAATGAAGCATGATATAGGTAACTTTCTGAAAAGGTTTAAGCCATGGACAGGCATTATGTTTCTACTGAGAGCATTGCAGCTCTCCCAGTTTAAACCACAAGCATACAAGCATTCACACAGTTGCTCCTGGAACAAAAATGGCTGTTATAGGAGAAAAATAACCCATTTCCAACCAGGGAGAAGTTGCTCTAGACATCATCTTCAGGAAGAATGGATACCTGATACCTCCCAGGACCCAGAGGAGTTGACAGGCATATCAATACACCTTCCAAGATTAGGGTCACCCCAGTCTGGGGAAGTGACAAGGAATAGCTGCTGCTCGCTTGCCCCTGGTCCTGGGAGGAGTCAAGCAGCAGGGAAATTCCCACCAATAGAAATAAACACACGTTTGTGGCTTTAGTCAGAAGATAATGGGAGGTGTTTTTTTTTTAAATGCAAACTTAAGACAGACTACTAAAACAATATCCTAGCATTAGATTTCTGATCACAGTTGCATCAGAAATGACTCAGGTCACAGCAAAAGAGGTGAAGGCAAATTTCAGCCTTGCAGTGGCAGCTAAGATATAGATATCTATATCTATCTAGATATATAGATATAGATATAGATAGAGAGAGAAAGATCTATATCTATATATAATTTTTCACTATCTTTTTTGTTCCTGGAAAAATAAAGAGGCTGTAGATGTACCTAGAATTTTAGCAGCTATTTTGGCAGAATACCTAACACCTTGAATGTTATACCTCAACTCAACTGCTGACCTTTTGAATTAACTTATTACAAGAAGGGTCATTTCAGTCATGAAAGTATCACAGGCCTTGATGCTATATATACTTGGTATCTAATTTTACACGTACCTATTCAAAACTAGAAAGAGCTAAACAGACATCAGCAGTTTCAGCCAAGAGTTCAGTTCAGAAAGTGCAATTAGTTCACTATACCAAAGCAACTGGCACATACACCAAACACAAAGTTAAAGAATAATGAGCAGAATGAAACCTATTTACAATTTGGGAGATGGAAGGTCTGAGCTGATTTATATAAAATGTTCATGGTATTCACCTAAAATATTTATTGCATTAGGACAGCGGCCTTTTTTGCTCTTACAATTATTTTCTGAAAGCTATTGTTGAACTCTAAGAAATAACCAAAACGTGTGAACTTTTCTAATGGTATGTAATAGTCCTTTTCTTATCAGACAAAGGTTCATTCTAAGCTGCAAAACACTACTACATTTTAAAAATGCAAGATAACAGTATTTGGAAATACTGTGCAGTTCAGCCATGGTGCACGTGTGGAGCCAGGCCCTTTGAATCATCTTTCTACAGACACATGATTAGGTGGCTTAATGGACAACAAAAACCCACATTAAAAACGTTTGAGAGTCTGTGAAATATGATTTTGCATTGTGCCTCATAGGTTTTCCAAGACTGGAGAACTGCCTTTAAAAGTATTTTCAAGAAAAAGAAACCAACACTGCTTTAGCATCTAAGTTCACCTCTCTTCTGGAGGCCTTATCTCCCTGCAGGGCCATGCACCCTTCTCTTGTCCCCCCCCAACCATCCATATCCTCCTTACAGAAGTCCTCTTTCCTCAGCTCCAGAGAAGTGAGGTGACACATGGCAGCTTCATAAAATGCTTCTGTTACAACACAGGAGAAAACATCAGAACTGCAGGAAAAGGAAGGATTCTGTGTACCCAGATTCAAATTCTAAAAGTTTCAATGGCAGACATTCCCCCTTCACCTGCTCAAAAGACCCTTCCCACTTTAATCTGAACCACAGTGAAATACATTTCAATTGTGTCTATTATGGCAACACTGTCTGGTCTGGACACTTTATAAACACACACAGAGCTGAGATGTCAGATGGGCCTAGGAAGTTGGGGGAAAAAAGCACGTGTGTCAGGAATGAAAAAAGGGCAATTAGAGAGGTAGATCCTTTAACTTGGATAGAAAAGGTAACTGATAGCGGTGGACAGTTATTTAGTTCTTTAAATTAAATATGCTTGATCTTAGTTCAGTATCCAGTGGCTGTCCAGACATCATTATAAGTAGTGATGTTGATGGCCACCGCAAAGAACTGAACGAACATGACTTTAGAGGGATAGTGACTCCCAAATTAAACACTGAAGACAGTGACTAGGTTTTGCCAGTAAGTGAATGACTTGTTTTTGAGAGCTGGTAGGCACAAGCTGTTTGTAGGCACTAAATTTTAACTGTCATCTTTTATCTTCCATTTTAACAATTTTTTTGTTCTTAGAGGAATCTGTTGCCTGGAAAAAGGGACACAGGCATACAGGTGGACCTCCCCCCCAATTATTTCTCAGGAATACAAAACAAGATCTTTTCAGCAAAGTCTTAAAATGCTTTTCATCCACAAAGTCGCTGCCCTTTACTTTTCGTTAAATAAGATGACAAACTGATGACAACCGTTTTAAAAGATTGATTTTATTTGACTTGTAAAAAGCAGCCCATGCCCAGCAGCAGGCGTGCATACCCAGCCAGCGAAACACTGACTCAACACACCTCTCCCAGGCTCCCCCACCCAGCCCAATCCCCCAGCTGCAGCAGTGCGTATAACTAAGATGCCACCGCATGGCGCACAGACGGCACCAGTGGCTCCTGGCAGGGAGGGCTGAGAGGATATTTAAACTGGGATCTTGGGACAGAAAAGAAAAGCTCAAAGGATAAAAAAGGGGTAGGCGGTTAAACCTTTCCAGACCATGGGGCAGCACTGCCCGACTTAGCTCCCGCAGGACAAGGTCAGCGCGGCCCGTGTGCTCGAGCTAAGAGGCCGGATCCCGCCTGGCGCTCTCCAACCCTCACCTCCACCATGTGAGGCGCGGCGCCAGCGCACACGGGGCCCACGCGGCCCCCCCGGCCCAGCGCGCCAATGCAGCGCAGACTGGAGCAGCCGAGGGGGAGGGGGAGGGGGCGGGCGCCCCCGGCCCCTTCC